CCAAAAAAACAACAAATCAAAGCGAAAACAAAAAAAAAACAGCCCCCAAACCCTCTACATCTCCAAAGCACTACCAACAAAAAACTTCACCAACAAACAAACAAATTTAATATGCAAATATGATTTTAATGCTACCACTGGGATATGCACATTTCATCACCCCTTATAGAATACTGGTCTCTGAATTTATCTGTTGGWTTAGGGGGAGGAGTTTGTGTATGTGTAGGATACTTAGAAATATCACAGCCAGTCTTCAGTCTCGTCAGACTTCAAATAATAAACTGCCATCCATTTGTTTGTTTATTTCCACAAAGTCTTGATTTTTTCTGTCACATGGACTGATCTCAAATACTTTCTGAGCCAGTTCAGGTTATTCCAAAGTGTCTCAGCAGAATTAAATTAATACAGAGATCATTGCCCTTTGTCTAAAATCCAGAATACTAACCTCACTATAAAAATCAAATAAAACCATATTATTTAGAGTAATCTCACTTAGGTTTTGTGGATAACTTGCTTTGCATTTGCTTCCCTCCAGGTCACACAATAAGGTACTCTCCATCATTGCTTCTAAACAGCAAATGTTGACTATCTGCAAAGCTTTTAACCAAAACAAGGGCTCTGTGGAACACAGAGGAACATGTAGCATYTGCATAATGCTTCCAGTGCTGCAGTCTGCTGCCTAGCTTCTGTCTAACCCTTGTACACACATAAGTCTGATGTGTTATGATTGGCATTTCTTGTAGTGTTGATTTTCCCCACAGTTAAGCAGCAGCTCAGAGCCTTACTTTAGGTGTTGTTTGGTGGAACCTACCCATTGCCTATCGTGGGCTTTGGATTTAGCCCTACAACAACCACAAACTCGTCAATTCTTTTCCTGTTTTGCATGYACATCACTGTATTGCCAATGTAAGCTGCTAATTGGTTTACRTACAARACAGATTGTTGATGCTGCCACGTTRCATCAAACATCCATGCATTCTTTTTCAGTCTTGAAATTCCCACTTGGCAGCATAAAATTCTACCCTTACATCATGGAAAAAAACATTCGAAGTCCTTTTCCATTGCACTTTGCAAAATTGCATTGGAGATGAAGACATATTTGGGATTCCTACAATTTAGTGGTGGGGAACATGAAAGAGTGGTATTTTTATGTTCTAAATGAAAATTTGTTTTTTATCGTGTGCTCCTTTTATCTTCYCAGACCCACTTTCTTTTCTTTCCTCCCCTTTTCTTCTTTTTGTTGCTGTTCCAGTGTTGGGGCKGGGGCATATTTTTGTTGGTGTCTGATGTGAATTCATTGGTAATGAGGTATGACAGTATTAGATCTTGGTTTTGATGAAATTCTGGTTGAAGTCAATAACCTCACATGAAACTGTGTTTTTATAAAAATTTATGGTGGCTAGTAAAGCAAGTTAAGAGCAAATATTTATGCCAGGGAAAGGATCTAAAGATTATTTTTGTGACCCTGGGCTTTTTGATTATCGTGGAAAATTATATATGTATAACAAAGGAAATGTGATCTTTATGGTTTTTCCCTTGTCTGTGATTACATGAATCTTTGGGCATGTTTTATCTTCATTCATACTGTTCTGATTTCATAGTTTAGTGGTCTGTTTTCTTGTGTTCCATGAAGTGTGGTGGTGTAGCAGTACCCATAGTTACATTTCAAGTCTTTCATGCTATTTGGAAGTATAATTCAAATTAAGGAACAACAAGCAGCTTGGTTTTGTTCTGAGAACCAGTACTGCTCAATAACATTTTCTCCACTTTAATTCAAAGCTTGGGAAGAGTGAATGGGTCAGCTGTATCTTCAGCCCTGGGAAGATTTTGATTCAAGCCTTTACCTCACTACTACTACTTTCTTCTCTTGCTCAAAATCTTACATTATTCTCTCTGAAATTTACCACCTACCTGATCCCTTTTCCCCCTTAAGTAATAAGATCAAAAAAAGTGCAAGTACTGAAGCCCCTTCTCAGAACTGAAAACTGACTCTACTGCAGTAACCRTGGCTAAAAAAAAGTTAGTCAGATCAATCTGATGACTTCATTCCTCCATTAGTTGTCAAACTGCCTCTAGGAGTTTGGCTTTGTCAAAAGGAATATCATTAGGAAATCCCAAGAGATAGTCTCCCACAGAGACAATCTGATCTTTAGGAAGAATCCCTTTGTAAATCTGGCTGAGAAATGAATGTGTGGGTGGCCAAATGTATTTGTACATAGTGAAAATGTGTGTTGTCTGTGCAAGTGYGCCATTTTATGCCTTCATTTGTCAGATTTTGTTCCTTTCACAGAACATCAAGGAACTTAGTTGAAATTTCTCTCCTTAAAAACCAATGGGAGTAATTTCTGAGGGAGAAAATWAAAACAAACAAACAAACAACACTGTTTTGGAGAGAAAGGAGCCAAGGAAAGAGTAAAACAAAGAAAATATTATCAACAGTTGGTTCCTCTTTTGKATTAGATAAAACTAATAATTTCTGACTTGGAATCCTTTGTAAGTGGGAGGAATACTGAGCAATCAGTGAATTAATATACACATTCAAAATTTATGTACATATATACATATTATTATATTCCTTACAAGCAGCTGTTGCTTTCTTTATGTAAACAGAATGTGGTGAAATAATGGGATTTTAATTGTTTTCACAGGTCTGAAATCCTGTCATGGCTTCCTGCATCAGTACTTTTTGTGGGCATTATTTATGCTGGCTCCAGGGCGCTATCCAGATTGGTAAGAAATGAACCAGTAGAAGTCACTTCTTTAGTATCTCTACTTTGTAAACAAAGAACATTCCCWTCATACATGGTGTTTAATGCTGATCCTGGGTTGGGGGAAAATGAAGTGTTTAAATAATAGATCCATTGTTAATGGAGCTAATGCAGCAGTCCAATCCTCCTGTGTATCAGAAAGCATCTCTCTGGCAGTTGGAAGCACTCAGCATCTCTCCAGAGTACTCAGTATTTTGCTGAGTAGAACCTCAGTGRTCTTAATTGTACAAGTAGGGAAGAAGCTGAAGAAATCACTAGCTGTAGCTTTGTAAAAGGTGGAATGGAGTTGTGGATCTGTGGGAACCTTCCAGGAAACCGATGAATACCATTTCAGTTTGATTTTTGCAGGATTTGTAAAAAYAAATAGAAAGCTGGAAAGAGATTATGGGAAGGTTTTATGCTTCATTYACATTGCAATAATTTACCAAATGTTTACAGTACGTCAAATCTGTTTTCATGAAACTTGAATGCTTTATGCTTAAATTATATARTCTTCCTTAAAAAAGTAAAATAAATTGGTGGCATTATTTTTTTAAAAACAACAATGTTTTGCTGCTATTATGCTGTCTGCAAGCCCTGCAAGGTCCTGCACTAGTTCTCTTCTGCATTCTGTCAATGCATCTTAATGTAACTCCAGAGTCAGCTTGCTCCTGTCACCTCCTAAGCCCAAAGGAGGATCAAAAGGGACTTTTTTTTTTTTAACAGATTCAGATTGTAGTATCCCTTGAAAATCCCAGTAGAGAGATAGAGCAGAAAAGAACAGGAGGTCTCTGTYTTCATAAGCAAGGTTGGGGGCCTTATCTCAGACCCAAATAACCCTGGGAAAGCACAGTCATGCTCAGAAGCCCCATGCTCCCAGATTAGTTCTATCTCAGGGTGATTGTGTTTACTTCCTTTTGGTTCCTTGTGAAAGGAAGTTCCMTTGGGCTTCTCTGGTGTAAGGTAAGCAAAGTTCCCTAAGGAAACCCCTGTCTGGAAGCAGCAATAAAGCCTTGGCAGCAGCAAAAGCTGCTTGCTCACCTGGGTGGTGGAAGAGTTATGAATCACATCCTCTCTGTTATTTCTCCTTATTCACTAGTCATGCAGCATAAACACAGTTGCTGTGTTTATCTCCTATTCCTGCTCTGGTCATTCATGAATGAACAGCACTGGAGGAGCAGAAGGATTGTTGAGGGTTTTGATTTTGATCCAAAACTTTTCTTAAGGTGCTTCTCCCATTTCTTAATGGCATTTGTTGTACATGAACAGGGATTTAGAGATCTAGTTATGTGGCCATTTTACAGGGCAAGACAAAAGAACAAGTAGTCGTAGGCCATAATTATTATGTRCTGCCTTCTAGTGAGGCTAACTTCAATCCTACATAGAAGCTTAACTTACAATAATTTTGTGTACAACAATTTTATGACACAGTGAGAAGGAAAGTGGACTCTCCCAAACTCATAGCTGAATTGGCTCATCTCAACAGCATATTGGAATTAAGTGGGTTTATTCCTAAAGCAGAAATTATGTGTAATTTTATTATCAGATCCAAGGGAACCCACTTTTAAACACTCCTGTATACTGGCAAAGCTACAACTTTATTTGTGCCTCTTCCTAGAGGTACTGTCAATATCCCTAGACCAAGGATTGAGGGCTGGAACTGGAGGAAGACTGCTTAGGTCTGGACTGTGATGCATTAAAAAAAAGTATACAGAGCCATGAGAGGAGATTTCTACTGAGTCTATTCACCCTGCCTGCCTAACCAGTAAACCTTTCTTTTCATAAGCATTAAGCCCTCTCACAAATTTAAKAAATACTTGCATCAAAGGCAATAGACATATGGAGAAGTTTAACTGGGCTAGGCAAGCTGGAGCCATTGTTGGCTCCAAAACACGTTTGGAAGAGCCAAAAGCAGAATGGAGAAAAGAAAAATCCAACCAATTGGCTTTCACAAAGGGAAGAATGTAAATTCTGCCGTCAACTTTCCTTGTTTATGGGTATTTCTTGTATTTCCTATTACTGTGTCAAGCTCAGAGTGCTTTTATGTTAGATAATTCTGGGTTTATGTTCTCAGTTGTCCAGCAACAGGGTTGAGAATTGGTTTTCAGTACTGGTGAAGCTGGGTCCAACAACCTCATGCCAGTTGTGTTTGTGTGATTTTCATTCTTATCTTGCTGTAATTGTTGTGTTTATGGATCCATCCCAGTTATCATTAAGACTTAAAATGTTTAATGAGCAATGCTTATCTAGCTTTATGGTAAAGAAAAGAAAATTACAGAAAATATGCAAAGCCACATTTGAGAGATATTTAGTGCTTATATCACCTGATACTTACAAGCTGGGATATGACTGAGAAATGAACTCATTATCTGCTACTGTGATTTAAATACTATACACAAGTGGGGAAATACTGCTTCCTAAACTGGCTTAGTCTTTAAATTATCTTAATTGGAACAGAGAATTGCTTCTGTTTCCACTGTCTGGGAGACCATGGATCTGATTTGGAGGAAGTATTATRAACCACTAATTCTGGTTGGGTTTGCCTGGGGCAATGGGTGTTTGATTCATTATTGTTATCATTGGGGTTTGTTTCTTAATGATTTCATGTTGGGATAGTGTTCAGATACCTCACTGGGTAGAATTTCAACACCATTTGTGTATGAACTATCACATTTTTRTCCTAATTTTGGGCATTTCTTACTAGCAGTAACTGAAAGCAATCACCTAAAATCATGCTGCCCACAGTTCTGTTGCTAGGAGTCACACTGTATTCTTATTACCAGAAGAGAGAGATGGGACAACAAATGAAAACTGTTTACTGTGGAGGCTGCAAATGCTGGATCAGAGAGGGAAAACTAGAATCAGAAACCTGGAGCAAATCTCACTGGGGTAGCTGTGTACAAACRAACTTGTTGAGCACTCAGCAGTGGGAGACACAGCAGTGGGTCTGCAGCATGGTCTGCCGGGTTTAAAGATGCCTGTGCCACGTGGTAGTGATTGGAGTGGATTAAGTCTCCTTTAGGAGATGTGGCATAAGTTTACAGCTTCAAAAACAAAACCCCAAACCACAAACATGTCCAACAGCTGTCTGTAGGAGGAATGCCCCTTCCTATGTTTGTGACTGTTCTGAGTTGATTTGGGTATTTTTGTTCTCTCCCCACGGCAGCCAATCCCGGTGTTCCTCACTATTCACAATGCAGCAGAAGTTATAACCTGCGGGTTCCAGAAGGTTGTGCAGAAAGAGGTAATTGATCTATTAACCAAGGCAACTCCTGTGATAGAACAGCCCTATAACAAGATACCTAATTTCTTTTAATACAGGCATTAGTGCCATGCACTTTTCTAGACTCACTGTAATAGCTACTCATTAATGAGACCCAGAGAGAGCTTTTAGCTGTTGACAAGTATCTATGTTTCCTTTTCCCCTTTAGTTGATGAAACACTGCAAACATATCACCAGTCTGATCTGCATTTTTAAGACTGGCTTRGTCCTGCTTGTTTTTTCCTTCTGTCTCATACCCCACAAAAAAATCTCATTGTTTGAGCTGAGAGGGAGGAGGACTGTGTCCTCAGATCTAATCAGTATAATATATCTAGTGTATTGTATGATTACAGTTAGGTCACATCTCCACATAAAATGCAGGAGGAACGGTGCATTTTGGAATTTGTTTTGAATGCTTGAGATTCTGCCCCTATGAAAGTCAGGAGAATAATTCCTGCACTCTTTCGTAACAGCTGGTTTTTTTTTTCTCAAAAGCTGCATTGGGGAGCATTCTTTTTAGGCTTTTCTTGAAATGTTTTTCTAACTGACTAAAGAGCTGCTGTGTGAGTTTACACCGGGAAATCATTCATCACAAAGTCATTTCTACAGTGGCCTCTGGCTTGCTGTGAAAGGCATCTTCCATTCGTTATATCTGTTGTCTATACAGAAGGCAGATAAACGACCTGTGTTTACTACATCTAACAAACAAGAGATCACTAAGGTTATGCCTAAGGGACATAGCAGTGTGTACCATGGCATGTCCCTGTGTCATTGTCCTCTGATTAGCGACCCTGTCAAAGTGTTTCATATTTTCCTTCTATGTCACATGCTTATGACTCCTCTCTGAAAACAAAAGCACTACAGACAAGGATAAGGCAAACAGAGGCCTTACTGGAAGYTTCTCAGGAATAATTTTGATTCAAAGAAATGGGAACAATTTTGATCAAGACTGATTTGACTGKGGTAGTACCTAATTAGGAAAACTCAATATTTGAGCACATACRTTATACAGTTTTTGGTATGATTCAAATTAAGTTTGAGTATGGGTATAAAGTTCATGTCTGGTTTTAGGTTTACCTGCTGGTAAGTAATCTAAAAATAAAAGCCAAGCTGAAACAGGCTAATCCCTAATCCYGAGTCTTTTTTTTTATATTAAACTTGCTTAGCAGTGCTCAAATGTAATGAACTGTTGAATGTTGCTCATTGAAGTTTTAATGTGTGTGCTGTAGTAAGATCAGCTGTCATCACGTTTCAGTTTTTGGAAGGAGTAAACACTGTTTTACCATTTTTATAATTAATTTTTAATGTTTTAATCATGCTTTCTTTTTTACAGCAGACCTCTCATCTGAAAGTCTGTGGGTAAGCTTTTAAAACTACTCAGATTCAGATTCAGACTTGTTTTGGCTCCAGCTTCTGTATTTGCTTCAGATAATGGCACACCAAAACAATGAAGAATGTAAGGCACATTCCTGTGGGCGGTGAGCCTAAATTGCAACACAGGAGTAATTAAATATTTTCAGGTTTCTTTTAACAATTGCTTGAATAGTTTGATGTGTTTTTTCTCCTTTCAAAAATGAAATGAATGAAAAAGCAGTGCTCATAACAATGCTTTTAGAAAGGAGATGGAAACCATGTTTGAAGTTCCAGTGGGTAATTGTAAACAGTAAGAGAAATGTAATTAGTCAGTTAGAAAGTAGCTAAAAATACCTTTCCTTAGGAAAGAAAGGTAAATGAAATCCATTTCTGCTAGAATCATCGATAGCGAGGGGGAAGTCATGTCTCAAGCGAAGGGACAAGAGGAAGTGACCTTAAATTGCACCAGGGGAGGTTCAGAATATTCAGTTAGATATTAGGAAAAAAAAAAATCACTATAACAGTGGTTTGGCATTGGAATAAACTGCCCCGGGTGGTGGTAGTGTCATCATCTTTAGAAGTGTTCAAGAGTTGTCTGGATGTAGCACTTGGGGTTATGGTTTATGGTGATTATGGTGCTGCTGGGTTGAGGGTTGGACCTTGCAAGAGATCTTGCAGATCTCTTCCAACCTTGATGATTCTGTGAYCTTAAGCTACACAACGACCAACCCTTGTTGGCCCTGGTTGTTTAGGCTTCAGAAAGGAGATAAAAAGGGGCAAATAGAAGTCTACCAGTCATGTGTTAAAAATTTGATTCTATGGCCCCACATCCCCTTGAAGAACGGATATTTGCTGTCCTCCACATCCTGTAATCTGTTAGCTGTACTTAAGAATGGATAATTTTGGGTTATTATTTAGTATACTTAGAGGCATTATCTTCCTAATTTCTTCCTGTGGCCTTCTTACTGTGGCCTTGTCTTCACCACTGGATTATTGTCCAGGATACAATTTTTTTAAATGATTTTTATTCTGTCTTTTTCCATGCCCTTAGAGAGTAGGAAAATAAGCTGCAAAACTAAGTGTATGTTAATATTAATAGTGACAGTCCACAGAAATTCCACGTCTGTGTATTCCACGTGGCTTGAAGAAATACTGAGTCAGCCACAGGTTAAGAATTTATTTAGCCTAAGTCTGTCTAGGAGGTGTGCTCTCCTTAAGACATTTCTAATGTAACACCAATAAATTCCACCTTGCTCTGTGTTCTGGGGTAACAATGTCACTTGTAATGGAGTCASATCTGCTGGGATTGTTGTAACAGGAAATTCATCTCAATGAAAGAAGTTCTTGGTAGCCATTAAGCCATTGAAATTGGCTGRTTTTTGCTTTCTGAAAARATCTAGGGAAGCYRGATGACTTGTTTTCATCACTTTTGAGGTGTTTTGTGCTGCTTTTTTTCTCATAAAGCTTTGCTGTGTACAAGTTATGAGGGATGCGTGATGTGAAGTTTAATTTTGATAGCAGAAAATACTTTTAAAATTAAGCAAGTGAAATGTCAGTGTAAAATTGAATGGAGTTGCCTGTACTTCACTGAGAATTCAAATCCAAGTTGGAAGCTTTGGGTTGGTCTTGATTTTTTTTTCTTTCTCTTCTCCACAGTGTGCTGTTCCTCCTGGCAGCAGCAGCGTGCCTTCCTTTGTGTGATGCACAGGTGAGCTTTGCTTTGTAAAGCAGCTCTAGTTGGGCCTTGATGTTTGACATCTTTTTAGCATATGAGGGATGCAGCTTTCATTTGTAGGCTAGAGTAGGATTCCTGCAAAAGAATTGTGAATGTTTCCTGTTGCTGTGTTTTAGTTTTGCTGGGTTTACTGTGTAAAASCTTTGAGCAGTGTAGACCCACAGCCCTTTGGTGAAGGTGGTGGCTGGGGAAATCACAATTTTGATTCTTAACAGGGCTTACAGCAAATCACTTTGGTTTGAATTAATTGTGTGTACTCTCAGTAAGTTCCTGAAATAGTTTTTTATTTACACATTTTCTGTAGCTATCTGAGAAAGAAAGGAGGTACCTCCAGAGAGTGATCCACCCAGTAAAGATCTATTCATTGGAGATTCTCTTTTGGAGTCTTAGGAAAGCTGCTTCCTTRCTTTAGATACCTCAGTTAGTATCTGAAGTTGGATGAGTCTGGAATTTGTCTTGATGCATCTGATCAAGTGTGACCACTGGAAGTGTTGCACCCGCACTAGCTCTCTTCATAGTCCATGGTGCAGAGCAGGATCTCCTGGTAGACAATTAATTTCCCTGAAAGCAGACATCTAAAATATGCCAGGTGAATTCCTCTCAAAAATGTTTGGTTTTCCCTATAGACTGTGAAGAGAGCCTACTTTGCTCAGACAAAAGTCCATTTGAAGCCCTCTTTTGGGTACTCTGTAAAGTTGGAGCCCTGGGGAGAGAGTGCTGCAGAAGCTCAGAGGGGAAAGGAGACAAGACAAAAACCTTTGTCATGGTCCTCTGATGGTCTTGTCCTTCCCTGATTGCCAATAGAAGACTAAACAGCCTGGGATCCATATGCTTAGACTGCTTAAATTGGTGGACACATCTGAAGGAAACAGAATTATMCTCGCTGAGATGAGCTGAGAGCCTGCATGACTGGCATATGCCAGGTTTCTAAGTGTGACAGGAAGAATTTCAGTCTTTCTGGTCCTCTTGAGTCATCTTCCCTTTCTTTGTAGCACAGGCTCCCACTCACTGTATTTGCTTTGCAAAGCTAACTGCAGGGAAATTGCAATATGTATGTCTACGTGATCGTCCTCTTATTTATTTTCATGTTCTTTATTGCAGTTTGATCCTAACGGATATTTATGGGCTCTAATTCACTTGATCTGTGTTGGTAAGTAATTTTCTTTTAGAAAAAGAATTAGRAAGAGTATATGTGCTGGAGAAAAGCTTTATTGTGAAGTGACTGATATTTGAGACTCTATATATGTAAAAAACACTTGGAAAGCATGAAGATCAGTAAACACAAGAAAGTGCATTCCTTTKATAGTTATATGCTGAAAACAACAACAGAACAAACCACATATTGCAGTCTGTTAACAGTGGATGAGAACATGCACATACAATTTTAATCAGCACTAAGCTTTTCTGGTTGTTTTTTGATGGTTGCCTACTGAGAGAGAACTCTTTCTGAGGGGAGAAGAAACATGAAAACAACAAGCAGTAACTTGTACTTGGAGCTTTATTGCAAACACAGATTTTGTTTAAATACTGACAAAAATTCACTAAAATACCATGGAATGTGGTCCCAGAGGAAGAATGTTGAAATGCTGGGGTTTTTTAGGCAATCATAYGCATTTAAAAAAAAWTGTAACAATGAGTTGCATAACSTATCAGGTTTTCTTTTGTCCTTTTTTTACAGAAYAAATGTTAATTTGRATAAACCAYAGGTCTTCCCTGAAAAGATAGAAASAGTCAGACCCAGAAAATCTGAAAAAGACAAAAGTAGTAATATTTAACTGGGAGATTTTTGTCTTTTGGGGTATTTTGGTGGATAATAAGGGACTTACATTTGTTTCTTTTCTGTCCTATATACTGAGTGTCTCACTCATATGTTAAGTCTTGTCTGCAGATTAGGGATGATTCCTTCTTTATTTCTTCTATTCGTASTGTAAAATTTTCAGGGCAGAGGTAATGTGATTACATGTATTCCTGTCTAGGGAAGTCTAGAGATCCCCATCTGAAAAGTTAACATGCAAATAAGAAAGAGTTTTGGGGGATTTTCTGAGAAATATTATATGGTAAACATTTGCTCATTTATATAAAAGTAAAACCTGTGCATTTTCCACTTCAAATACTTGTTTACTGTAATGAGTGATGTTCTGTCTTTCTCAAAGCCAAGGGGTTTCATATGTAAAACGATGTTTGGTCATGGGGGTGGAAAATTGCTTAGAGAGTCTTCAGAATGCTTCTTTTGTGTGTTTGAAATATGTAGGAAGTGCCAACATAATGTTTATTCTCAAAATATAGCTGCCTTCCATTTCTCTTGGTTTTGAGAATTGTTGATAAGGCTGTTGGGAGTTATTTGTCTAATTAGATTTCCTATCAAGTGAAATGAAAGTGGTACAAGAAAGGGCAAACAGATAAACTAACTTACTGCATAGTAAATCAAGATAGAGAGAAGGGATGTGTGTTCAACCCTCGTGCTTGTCTAATGGAGGCAGAATTGAGGWCATCTATTTCATAGCGTTCTACTCAATTTACTTTCCATGTTCTAGTTTTCTCTACGAATCAAAAAAATTACCCCAAAGCCTTGAAGAAACGGTCTGAAAAAATAGAGCCTGAAGCTGTTTTGTTTCTTCCATGAGTGCTCAAAGCTTTACCCAGAACAGAAATGGCAGCGAACAAGAGGCAGATGGGTTGGTCAAGAATGTAAAGAACMTGGAGACCCTAGAGCTGAGAGAACTTTAAATGAAAGATGGTTCAGAGCCAAAAGCTCTATGTAGATGAACATATACATATCATAGAACTTACCCCCCCAAATAGTGTGAGCTGAAGAACCAATTCTGTGACACTTTTCTTTGTGTATTTACACACAAAACCACACATACACACAATTTCTCCTTTGTTGTTGCTATGAGCTAGAAGTTGTTCTCAGAAGGACTAGCAGAACCACAAAGCATGACTGTAGTCAGAGYTGATAACACTTTGAAAACCATTAATTTGAAGCAATAGGCTCATTTTACTCATGGTTTAGGAATCCTTTGTGCTGTGTTGCTAAACTGTAATTCAGAGGGGTTCCACGTCTGCCAGTCCCACAGCCAAACAAGCTGTTGTTTGTCAGAATGATTGCACGATATGGCAATTATACATGTCATCTCAATTACAGGGGCTTACAAAGTATTTCACAAGTTGTGGAAACCTGGCTCTTTGAGGTAATGTGTTTTTTTATTCTATTATGAGGAGAGATGACTGTGATGTAGGGAGCTCTGCATGATCAGCAGGAGCTGGGCCACTCCTGGTTAATCATTAATGACTTCTCTTGCAAGAGGAGCCTTATTTATTGTTGATAACAATAGAACGTGGTTATTGATAGTTAYACTGCTAACTGGAACACTGAATTAGTTTTAAACAGTGTATTATCCAAGGRTGGTTACTCAGCCCTGGAAAAAGAACCCCTAATTACTGGCACAGGTGTTAAGAGGAAATGTTATTCTGTGTTCACGTGGAAAGCTGCATGGTTTAAATCTGTCGATATCTCCCTTTGTGACAGTCGTCTCAAAAGTGTTCAGCAGCTGGTGAYTTACCACAAGACTGGAATGACTGAGAACTTTAACCATCTTGAAACCTTGCAATAATCCCATGTACATGTTAGAACTGCAACCACACAATGGTGGTCACTATTGTTCATTACATGTTCACAGTGTCTGTAATCTGCAGTTGTCTGCATGGATGGAAATGAATAGGTTGACACTGTGTGTAATGTACATAATACATGCATGGAAAASCTTATTTATTTCAAAACCATTTTCRATCTCTMCTTAAAGGGTCTAAATTTGAATCAGTCTCACTTTATCTTCACTTTAACTGAAACTCCCACTGACAGTAGGACAGAAATAATGTGTGAAACATGAGTAAATTAATGTTGGTTAATTGATAATTAGTTGATTAGTGTTGATACAATTATTACTATGTTATGTTTATCATGCATATAATTATAATAGAATGTTTGTTCCATTCTTAATAATAATAATAATTAATAATTATTATTCTAATTATCATTCTATTATTATAATAAACAATAATTATTCTAATAATTATTATTATAGCATTATTATGTATTATATATATTATTATAATGTAATATTGCAGCATTACTGTATATTACTCTTCATATACTGCTCTGTTACACCAAATGAAGTGCATTGCTAAAAAAACCWCCTTTTTTTCTTTCCCTCCTCTCCCAGTGATCTGGACCAACAGTACATCAACTATGTGTTCAGGTAAAATGAATAAGTCTTTGATRCACCATAGCTGGCTTTATGTGGTATATGTTTTCATTTTCAACCGTGGCTGGTTGAGGAARCTCATAGCTACCACTSCTTCAATGTATTTATTTAGCAAAAYATTCACTGRAAGAACAGTGCTAAGCTGAATGGCTTAGCAGCTGAATTTTTTTGGCTCTGGTTGTAKGTGAGTATGCCAGTATATACCTGGGGAGGTAACGAGGTGTTAATTATGAATTTTTAAATCTCTACGTGTACAAGTGATCTATCACCTTCCAGAAATAATATTTACTGAGTAACTCCCTGGAAATACCCCGCTTCAGAAAATAAAACTTGTACAAAATTGCCAGAAGAGGAGATAGTGATTACAAAAGTACTGTGAGCAAAGAACATGAGCAGTAACTGATTGTTCAGAGTGCCGTTAGGGGGATTGAGTAATTCTGATTTTCAGTTGTTTTTCTGATTTGGAGATATAAAAGTCACTTGTTATTTTGTAGCTAGTGAAAGAGCCTGAGTCTCTGACCAGATTCCCTTGCTTATTTTGAATCCAGTCCTTTCCTCAAAGAGCCACAAACCAGGACATTCAGTGTATGTGTACTTCTGCTGGGGTTTTGTGAGGCTTTACTTCAAGTAAGACACCTAAGAGACTTGAYTGAATTCTCCTCCATTCATAATCACATTTAACATATGTTGGCTTCTTTTCTTGGGATTGTTCCTCAAGTCATTTGGGAACATGGTGAAGTATGAATAATAAAGCCAAAGAAAGAGTAGTCAGAAGGAATGAAAGAGGGAGCAGAAGTTGAGAATAAGCATAACAAAAGTGAAGTTGTGCTAGTCTATTTGATTAAGTAGATGTATGCTCTTGTCTGACCACATGAAAGATCCCTGGTAGGAATACATCCGGGAGACCAGTGTAGGACAGCTACTTCCCTACAATTCCCTTTTATCTAGTGAGCATCATCTATATGATAACACTGCATATCTCTTTCTATCTTAGTTCAGTCAAATCTCCCATTTCCATAAATAAGTAATGCAGGTGCCTGATTCTGCCTTTGTAATTCACCAGGGTCCCATTTATGGACAATATCTGAATATCGGTTTGCTTGAAGTAAGCTCATGTTTAAGTCAATCRTTGTTTTCTATCCACTATGAAATGYAAAGAAAATCAATTTTATGCAAAGAAGGTGTGTTGTATTGAAACTTTGGAAGGATTGGTCATGGAATTTGCAAATATGCTGCCATTTGCAGAAAGAACCTATGAAATCTTTAACAAGTTGTAGCTACTTCTCAGAGTTGAAGGAAATAATGAATCAAGCAGCAAAATCCACTGATTTTTCACTTGGCAGCTGCCTGACTATGGCTTTTAGTTATCCATTTAGTTGAAAACTGCACATGGGCCTGAAYCTTTAAATTCAGATTTTGGCTGAATGTCTGAACTTTGCAGCTTTGATTGAAAAGTCAGGGCTGGGTTCCCTCTCTGTTAGTTGGTGATTTTGGTCCTTTGAAGTCTGTGAACTTGTGTCCAGCAGAGAGCAGGAGTTCCACATTATAGGGAAAGTATCATTATTCATTTGGAAGCTTTTGAAAGTGAGAAATTTCTCACTAAGGAACTGTGAAGTGCAGTGGTATATGCATTTTAAAACTGTTATTTTTACAGAGAAGAAACAAATAATCTAACAATGGATTTGTGCAAATTGGAAGATGGCTATTTTCAGCATCTGTTTAAGAGCAAAAATTTGTTATCAGGGCTTCCAAAGACTTTTCCCAGGAAGAGGCTTRAAGGCCAGCATAGCTTGCAAGATAATSGTGCAAAGCAAMATGCTGGAAAACAGGTGGCCTAAGRCAGGTAGCAAACTSGAYGATTATTTATTTGGCTTGGGCCTATGTGTATCTATGTCTTTTGATCTATAGGTATATGTATTTCTATGTGTTAGAAAAGCTCACAATCCATAGCACTTGGACTTCATCTTGCCTAGGGAAAACAACGGGATAAGCGATATCTGATTTCTCATAGAGTTTTGTTYTGTTGAAATAGCTGATGATATTTGAAAAGGTGTAAAGTGTGGCAGAAACTCTCTCCTCATAACCACAATCTCCATTATGTGCCTAGGGACTAAAATCCTCCTGCTGCAGGAGGCACTGGCAGGGTTTGTCTCTGTGTGACACCTCTGCACGTGTAGTTAACTCAGAAATCACTGCCACTTCCCAAATCTGGATGAAGCTGTTCAGTGTGTTTGAGAGCTGCGTAGGACTGCATACACACAGCTGTACTGCACAAACTTAATTTCTGTAGAAAACAATCAGAGGTATTTTTAAATATCACTGACTAAAGAAATSTTCTCTGAATGAGCACTAGCTCCTTACAGGCAGTTCTGGGTCAGAATTACTGATTACAGATTATCTCTTTCAGAGGGTGCCTAGTATTAAATTTTGTGATTTATAAGGTGTTAAAGTATATGCTGCTTCCTCTACTCAGGCCTTCTCAAGGCTGTGAGAGGACCCCAGTTTCACCTCCAGAACAGGACAGTTTAATGTGTCCTGGAGCCCTTGTCTATACAAGCATGGCTGTATGCTCTTTTTCACAGAGCAGAATTATCAGACAATTATCAATTGGTCTCCTAAGCTCCTTTTTTTTTTAACCTAGATCAGACAGCTCACATGCAGCTGTGTGGGCACATCCAGATAGTGCTCAGAATCACCCAAGCACCACATGTCTCCTAAATAGCKGTAGGGATGGTGATTCAGCCACTGCCCTGGGCAACCYGTTCCAATGCTTGATAAGCCTTTTAGTGAWTTTTTTTTCCTAGCTCATAGGAAAATTATATAGGATTATTGTAATAGAAGCTGTTCAAAGCATTTCTGTTCAGTATGAAAGCACAATTGTACTCTGAATGTAGAGACTGCCTGCAGAGAGAAGATTAAAAGTTCTGYCCCAAATTACTGAATGTTAGAATCTACTAGTATGTTAGAGTAAATATACATATAAATGTATATATATAGAAGAGAAGTCTCTGTTGGACRCTTCCAGAAGTGCAACTGAAATGAGCAGTCTCCTAACATATGTTGCCCTTACATGCCATGCACTGTTTTGTGTTTCCAAATCTGGAAGAGTTTGGGAGAGAAGAACACCCTGAGCAAATGTACATGAATGGGAACTTTCCAGAATCAAACAGATCTGAAGAAATATTTGCTGATGTTGAAAGTGTGCCGTTCTTCTCACTTCATCACTTCCAATGTGATTGTTCARTGGCTTTTAAAAAGGGASCCAGGCCAGGAACAAGTGTAGGAGGGAAAGCAGAGCTGTGCTATGCAGAAAAGGGAGGGGTGATGTTGCTTCTCAGTGCCCAGCCTCATCCAGTTCATCTCTCTCCCTTGTGTTTAAGCATCTGGGGCAGGGGCAGGGAGGAAAAGAAGAGAGTCAATGTACTTCCAAGATCCTGCCTCTAATCCTCCAATCCTCTTGATCCTACCCCTTTTTTTAAACTGTGGTACTGTATTTCCCTGTACTCTGACTTCTGCATTAGTGTTCTACTTCCTTGTTTTTTGTTTTTGTTTTTTTTGGTAATCTGACATTTTCTTTAATTCCTTTCTGTTCATTCACTTTTTATCAAAGAAGAAGCTCGATTTCCCCTCCCCCCCCTCCCCAGCTGGTGAGGGGTAGCATTAGGGGAGAGGTAGTAATGCCTGCCTAGAGTGTTAAGGGATACATGAATGTGTCTTAAAAGCAGGTTGTAGCTCATCTTGGGCTTTCTCCAATGCTGAGGCATATTTTACTTCTTGTGCAGAACCTGTAAGAAARTTTCAGTACATCCCAATATCTGTTTCTCTCTGATATTTGTTCACAAAAGCATGCCTAGAATGGCCTAGCAGCCATTGATGAGGAGAAAACAGATACAGGAGAATTTCAAATGATTGATAAATGACACTGACAAAGGTATGAGGTAAAGGMTCCACTCTATGCAGCAAAACTACATCTGGCTTCTGGAAGAGCTGCTAATCTGTCACTTCTATGAATCAAAAATGCTGCAGTAGATTTTCTGCAATAGGGGAGGGCAGCTTTGCAGGCATAAATTGCTGTTCTTGCTGACAAAACCTCTTTTTAGCCAGAAAGGAAACCACGAGTGACCCAGCCCTCAGTATTGAGTACAGGGGAAAAAAACAGGAGCAGAGAAATCCAGCACAGGGAATTTGTTTTTGCTGGAGCCTCAGATGCAGGCTGTCCTGCTAGAAACCACTGAATCCCTAATCTGGTTTTACAACATCATCGTGTCTTTTTTACTGATGCTTTATTCAGAGCAGAGCTACAGAGCAGCTGTAATGCCATCTAATCCAGTTGCCTTAACCTTCCCTGCACTTCACAAATAAGGTTTTGTTTTCCTCTTGTGTTTTCTTTGGACCAAAACCTGGGATGTCTGGTAGGCTTATCAATTCCTCTTGGTTGCAGGAGGAAGTTTCTCTCTGAGTATTTCCCAATCTCAGTGTTYTCTTCTTTAAAATACACTAATGCAAAAAGCAAGAGGAGAAATATGGTTTAGTCCTACTTCTCATCGCTGTTGATACAGTTTCATTTGCCCTGCCAGTCTCCTATTTTCTCTGTTATTCAGTCAAAAGCAGTAGACCTTTRCTTCCTTTTCTCACTTTACCAGGAAACTGAGGAATTTGGCCTGTTTATTGTGAATTACTCTTGGCATCCCTTGACAGGGAGAGCACCCATGTGTGGGGAGGAGGGATGGGGAAATTACCTGCTGCGAGTGATCTGCTTTGCCTTTTTTAATATCTTTTGGCAACCACATCTTTTAAAATTCTCCATATATAAATATGGAGAATGTGAACATACTATACCAGCTGATGCCTTTCAAAGAGTTATAAAATGTGAAGCCTGTCTGTCTGTCCCTCGTAAACCCTTTCCTCTTTCATCCTGTTGTGTTCCATAGCTGATTTCAGCAACAAGCTTCCCCGCAGGGCTTCCTTGTCCATGGGATTTCTATGCTCTTTGCAGTTCCTTTTGCTGCCATTGCCTCTGTGAGTGATGCTGGGATTCATCAAAGCTTGCCCAGGGCAGGTCACCAAGCATGGTAGCTTGGTCATGTAGAGAGCTGGGACCAGCTGTGAGTGAACAGGTTTGGAAACAGTAGCTGTGTTAACACTGGAAAAGGGAGTTGTCCTGGAATGCTTGAGCATTCATAACATTATTGAATGTCTTTTTACCCACTCTGTAAGTGCCAGTGCTTGCTGCTGATCAAGAAGCAAATTCTCCAGATAACCTTTTCTTCTTCTCCCACTTGTCCTTAGTGTTTGTCATGGATGTACATTGTTGGTAACTGGAAGAAGCTGTATCTCTACAGACATGTCGGCCAATCCCATCTCACAGCACCTCAGAATGTTTCTGTAGCCTTCTAACCTTAGAAGCAATTTAGAATGAAAAATCTGAAAAAAATCAGAATTTTACAAGAAAAATCAGTAACRCTAAAAAAGACTTTCTACAGCCTGTACTGGCAAATCCATGAGTGTGAGGTCTTTGTAAAACCTCAGAAATCTTAAGTGATACTTCAAATAAAGAACTGGTCACAGCTGATTTTCTTGTTCACTTGTATATTTCTGAAAAGTGTGAATCATTTGGGCTGGTATTTGGTTTTATTTTCAGCTTTTTAAACTTGTCTAAATGTAGCATTCGACTTWATATGCAACAACAACCATACACTGTGACTTTGGTGGTTTAAAAGCAGGACAGCAGGAAAAACATTTTTGCTAGGATGGTAGAGTGGCCCTGGGATGAGTTATCCTGAAAAGTGGAATCTGAATTCTGGTAGGTTTATGAGTCACGGCTTTCTGAGAACCAGAGAGAATGACCAAAATATTCATGGTAGTCCTGCTTCAGGTGATAAATTTTGTTAGGATTTAGACCCCAGAGATTCCTTCCCAAACGATTTTTGTTTTCTTTTAATTGATACTTGTGTCTCAGTTATTCTACTTAACTGGAATAAGTTTCACCATGAAAAAGCAAACACAAAACTGTCAATTCATAGTCTTCAAACCATGTCATAGATTCTGTAATATCAAATTAATTTTTTTTTTTTTTTTAGTGTGGTGCTGTTGGCTTCTGCATCCCATCCAGCAGGTAAAATTAACTGAGTTGTTACTTTTTTAGGTTTCCATATTGCTTTTCTTTTCTATGTGTGTTGTCAGAGACCAAATCCTTAGGATTTTAGCCCTGAATATGACCAATAATATATTATCATATAGGAAGAGGAGAGAAGGGTGTATAACTTGGTGTTACTTGCATGGTATTTCCCAATACTTTTGTTAGCTGCCCTTTGCAAACAGGCAGCATAGGACAGACAACAAAGAGCAGTTTTTGAGRTGGTTCATGGTAAAAGACAAGGATTCCCTAAGTCAACATGTCCTCTTCAGAGCAACGTCCCAGCAGTCCATATAGAACAGTCCATAKAGAGTTTCCCTCTTTGCATTGCCCTCAGTGYTGTGCAGRTTTTTTGTTTTRTTGCTTTCATAACACAGATCCCATKGCTTGGMCCCAAATGGCAGGATTTGAARWAGCATCAGGTRAAGCAGTAAAAATGKGGAAATTTAATATTTTATGGWGGCTGATATTCCTACCATATTTATGTTTTCATAGTTAGAAGGGTAGACATCTGCTGGTTTCACCAGATATTTGTTCAGCCAAAAAAACAAAGAAGGAAGTATTTAAAGAAACATAAATTTCCCCTTTGCCTGGTGGTGCAGATTGTGTATATAGGCAATCCCCACCAGGACAGACATATACATTAAGCAAAACAGTYTTGCATTCCAAAAAGTGAACGATGGAGCTTCCTGCAAATCTGTAGAGCCTGAAGGCCAGAGAACTCCTGGGAATTGCCACTGAGGGCAACCAGGGCCCAGGTTCCTGGAAATGCAAGTACTCGAGAGCTCTTCTTAGACCTGGGTGAACTTATTTATACCTCTCAATATGCTCTGTGTTACAGAGTTCAGATGCCAGAGGGGGAAGCAGCCACCATATGTCTGTGTTTCCTGTTGCTTCAGTAGGAACTATCACATGCTGTGTAGTGAAAGAAGTGGATATGATACATGTCTGTCCACTGGCAACTTGTTTAAGCAGAACCTTCTGAATGCTAGCAAAGAATACTCTTATGTATCCCTTTTCCTTTTTTTCAACCAAAGGCAGGAACTGGCTAGMAGCAAGGTCAGAGAGAAATCATTAAACACACCAGAAATGTGGAAAGCATCATAAATGAAAAGTCAGCCAGCCATAAAGGCTCAAAGGAATGTTAAACTAGTAATGTTCATGTAATTGCTGTTGCCTTGCTTGTAACAGTGGGTAATTTTTTTTTCCACCATGTACTGAGTGTATTGCTTTGTCCCCTAGGTGATCTCTTCAGTGCCTTGGATTTTCCATTCCTGTACTTCTACAGGTTTCATAGCAGCTGCTGTGCCAGGTAACCTCTCTATAACAGGTCATGTAAATGGTTTTGTTTCCAAAATAAGAGATCCCAGCCTTGCCTCTCAGTTAAAAATTTTGGAGCATGTAAAGCCTCACTTATACCTCTTTTTGCTGCCATAAGCCAGTGGAATTGCAGAGAATATATCTTTGCATGTCTGTAGACAGCCTGAGATTCAAATGTGCTGGAAGWATATGTGTTTCCTTGAGTGAGTGCATTCTGATCCTTAGAGTTCCCAGTCATCAGTAAAATAATGTTTACCAAATGTAGCAAAGCTTTGATTCATAGCATCTCTCAAACTCTTCTGAAGTCAGATTAGCCCAAACTGCTGTTTGTAGGGATTACTAAATTAGTCTTCAGCAGCATATGGGTGTACAGGGATTTATTTTCCTGTACATCTTGTTATCTAGAAGAATGCTGTTTTGGGTAAAAAGGAAAAGTTTTAGCAAGTGTTCCATTCTTTTGAGCTGCATAAGATCACTGCATAATGGCATAATTCTCACAGAACAACATAAATATGAAAAAAATCCAGTCTTCCCCCCCTGCCCCCAAGTCTTTTACCAAGTGAAAGTGTGGGGTTTTTTGTTTTTTAGAGGGGGTAAAAGATATTTTCATGTTAATTAATGTTAAAAGTATTTCCTGATAAGGATTTTCTTACTTGTATCTGGATTTTTGATTGAAAGGGGATATTGAGAATGAGTGCTAAATAATTTTCAATGTACATAGTTTAGGTGATGTTTTTGCAAGGGTGGTCYGTACAAACTACAAGTAGCTTGCAATTAGTTATTCTGTAGGTAGGTGAAATCAATTTTTCTTGAAGGTGAGGTCTAAATGCAGGCATGAATGGATATCTGTCTAGCACATACATTCTTCTCTTTCACTTCATTAGGACTTTACCACTATGGTAGCCTCTCACTTCTGTTTCCWTTTGCCCACCTTCAGTACATGTGTAGTAGATAGCATTGTACACTACAGGAAGGGGAAAGGAATGGTTTGATGGAGAAATAATCTTCTCAGGTTTTCTCTTACATCTTGAAATCTAGTGTCTTTGTAGATATATGGGATTTGGAGGAAAACCTATTCCATGTAAGGTAAGGKCAAYMGAYGCAGCTAAATCTACTGCCTCTGCATCAGCAGTAAGGTGTAARGTGCTCAATTAATTTAAGGAAATAAATTGGTGTTGATTGTGGCTTCAATATTTTAGGTATTATAATTCACTGTTTCACATTTTTATCTATACATCATCAAATCTGTCTGACTGAAAGGCCTTCACAGCAGGGCAGAAGATCTGGAACAAATTTAAGCTACTGGACTCSTAAAAGTATGAGAAATGCTGGTTCATTGAACTCACTSATTTCTCAGAGTGGARTGCTCCACTGCTCAGYRCTTCATCCTCTGCAACAAGCTGCTRAGTTTAGGCCTGTCTTTTGTCATCAAAGCAGCATCTGGTTCCTTGGCCTCAGGCTTCACACCCATCCCAAAAGATCTTGTGTTATACCTAAGAATTCCTAACATCTAAGTCCTGGGAAATTATCTTATTCTACTCTTTGGTGCCTTTATGGATGTGTGGCTGTGATGGAACTTGGCCACATGTATTAAGAGGGAGCAGCACTTGGCTGATATACTGGAGCCCAGCCCAGAACTTCTGACCTCGGGAGCCACCATTTTCCACCCTTCTGTTGTAGAGAGGGGACCAACTGCATGGCATCACTATCCAGAGCAGCATACCTTCTGCGAATATCAAGGCATTTTTTGCTTCACCACCTGCATGCTGTGTCGATCCTATCTCCTTTCCCATGCAGCTTCCCACAATACTTTATAATCTCTTATGACTCAGTAATTTGTGCTTTACATATTTTGAAGTCCTTTTCTGTTCCCTGCTTGCTGGTTTACRATCAGTGGGTTGTACGTATGTCACAAGTGAAACAAAAGCCAGACCCAAACCTCTTAAACTCCATAAAGTCTGGTGAGATGTGGAACAGAATTCTCTTAAGAATAGTCTTGGMTACCAGAGCACTGGGGACTGCTGTCCTCTACGACTTGAGAATCAAAATCCTCTCAATTGTCAGCAGAAAACTTTGGAGTATCCTGTTCCCAGCACTACTGAGTCATCTATTTATTATATGGTAGAGATGTATTTGACTTCCTAATTGGAATTTAGGCTTCAGGAAGTTGAAACATCTTGAAAGCTTCAGGCAGAAACTTTCCAGTGGTTATTTTTTCAGTTCAAGCCTCTGTGGAGGTTGAAGTGAGTTACTTGCCAAATATGTGTGGTTCCTGCTGAAATTAGCATTGCTGTTATTCAGAGCCATTTCAATGCCTGAAGTTAATATTTCACCTCATGTTTCCAATAATCTCTACTTTTCTGATTATGCAAGTGTATTAGAGACCAGCCATAAGAGCGTCAGACTTGCTTTACCCAGATTCTAGTCACTGACTGAACAAACCCCAAGATGTACTGGACATAATGTAAGCTTCTTGTCTACCAGCTTTTTTACTCCAAATGGGATTAACACTGCAGTTCTGCATTAAAAAAAAAACAAACAAAAAAAACAAAACAAGATGCTTGTAAGAGGTTGTTTAGTTGAAATTAAGAGATTTTATTAACAAGCTTTCCCCATCCCTTGCAGTGGACTGTTGGGATTCTTTCTGATGTTGCACACAGTGAAGCTAAAAAGCAGCACAACCTCAGGGCAATATGCAGCCTGGAGTTTCCTTGCAAAGGTAAGAGAAAGACCCTCACAGGAGCACAGTGGATCTGTGCATCTCCCAGGAGAACTGAGGAATTTCTCTRTCTCTCTAGCTTCTCTTCCTATTCCTCCTTGATGCTTCCTAGGTCCTGTCTGTGCAACTGCACATAGAGTTGAGGCAATAAATATCAGGTGTGTAATATCCCAGGATCATTRGCTGAGATGAAATACTGTGTATAGACTGAATCTAATGGAACTGGGATGATTATTGCAGCTAAGGATTTGGAACATTGAATCCCAGTAATACAGACCTATACTTTCCAAAGGTGTACTGGAGAATATTCCTTYTGAGAGTGGGTGAACCCGCCACTGTTTGCAGTGTGTCTTTCCTGAGCCAAGAGTTAAAACTAATTCCCTGAAGTTCAATACCAGAACTCTCATTGTTTTTGTTGCTAGAGAGATCTGAGGATGTAATTTTCCTTGACATTTACTGGGCTTTTGACAGGATCTCCTACAATATTGTTACATCTAAATTAGACTGTTACCGTCTGGATGGGCAGACAACTAGATGGATAAAAAAATGGGTGGAGGATCAAGTTCAAAAGGYAGAGGTTAATGATTTCTATGGTAACTGGAGTAGAATGGCAAGTGGAGTGGCACAGGGATCTATCCTGGGTCCCTTCCTATTTAACATTTTTATTGAAGAAAGAGAAGTAAGAGAGTGTACTCACATTTTCAAGGGACACCAGATTGGGACGACCAGTCAATGACAATGGAGGATAGAGTTGCCTKCTAGAGGGATCTGGACAGCCTGGAAGAATGGGCCAACAGAAATCATAGAAAATTCATCAAGGGTAGATATGAAGCTCTGCACATGGGAAGGAAGAGTTGGTGGCAATAAATAGAGCCTGGGGACTGAACAGCTGGGAAGCAACTCTGTGGGGAAAAGGACCTGGGATTTTGGTAAACAGCAAGCTGGACATGATACAGCAGTGTGCCCTGGCAGCTAAAAAACCCCAAAGTATCCTGTGTTGTACTTACAAGAGCACAGACAGTAAATTCATGGAAGTGGTCATGACCCTCTCTGCACTTTTTAGCTGACATCTGGAATAGGGAGCCTTGTTTTAGGCACCAGAGTATAGGGAAGATACTGTTAAACTAGGGTGAGTTTGGCAGAGGGTTGCTAAGAAAGACAGGGGACGGGATCACTTGCCTTTTGGGGAGTGGCTGCTGGACCAGGCATGTTCAGCCTGGAAGAGGGACATCTTTGGGAGCACCTGACMTACGGCAGCCACTCAGTAGCTGTGGGGAAATCATCAGAACACAGACCCAGGCTATTCACAGTGCTGTGTAGGGATCTGTGTGTATGATAAACAGAGAGGTTCAGACTGGGTGCAAGGAAAAGTTTTTTCACYGCAAGGACAAGTCAGGCAAGGGCAGAGATTGTCCAGGAAGGCTGTGCTGTTTCCGTCTTTGAAGGTTTACAAGACCAAACTGGATAAAGCCCTAAGCAACCCAGTCTGACCTCCTGAAGTCCATTCCTACTGGAATTATCCTATGATCTGTGGATCTAGGGTCTGGCTGTACTTGATTTAAGCTATTAACAACTCATTTTTTTTAATTATCGGCGGTAAATACAATCAAAGGAGCTTGCCAGACTCCTTTTCCCTGGTTATATTTTACTTCATTTCATCACCCTCAGCTGGGTTGTCTGCAAACCACAACCTTACTATGTGGTTTGTGATCTCACCTTCCCTACTACAGTGAATGAAGCTGTTACATTATCAAAAAAAAAAAAGCCAACAGAAAACCCCCACCAAAATCATAGACTAGCAAAATATGCTTCTTTAAAAACTGTAGTCAAATGAAAATGGTTGGTTTTTTTTTTGGGTTTTTTTTTTTTTTTTTTTTTTCCTGGGGATAACAAGAATGGAGTGACATGGATTGGTTTGGGCTTTGCAAAACTGTTCCCCACTGTACAAGTCACATGGATTTTCTCACTAGTTTGAATTTCTTCCAAACATTCTGACGGCAGATTTTGATACCTTAGCTTTCTTCTTGCTCCTTGGTAGCAAGTCAACTGATCTAAAACTTGCCCTTGAGTATTTTTTTTTGGTTGGTTGTTTTTTGTTTAACATTCTGGGTTGGAGACTAGAATAGCTGGCTCTGCTGGTAGGTGTTGTGAATGAGGGTAAATGATTCTACATGTGGTATTCATGACCTATTGGAAAAAAATGCAGGCAAAGATGTGTTGTGCAATTTATTTTAAGCAGATTTGGGTCTGTCCCAGCTGAAGTGGATCAGAGCCACCAAGTCTGGACTGGATCAAAGCTTTCCCAATGYTTCTAGATTAGTAGGGGTTTGGCCATCTGTAGAAAAAAAGTGGTAGAAAGTTTGCTCTAGCCATAGTTGTCAGTGTAGTTATGTACCTTTATAATAACTAAAAACTTGTCCCTCTGTCACTGTGAGAATTTAATCTGCTCTTTAGCCMTTGAAAGTGCATGCTTTTCAATGTACATGGTTTAATTGTCTTGCTTGGAAGGTTTTTGTAACAGAGCAATTAGTCCTTTTCCTGTTGTATCTTCTAACCCTGTTCTCAAATTATGTGTCTTATCTTGAGCTGGAAGAGGTTAATAAGTAATGAAGACATGAGATCTGTCTGTAGCACTAATAATTTTATCAACGCTAYGGTTCCACTAATGCCTTCCACTAGTGTTTTAAAGCTTGCTGTGTGACTTATTTTAGGGTTCTACCGTACCTGTCTAAGGATGTAAGAGGAGCATGGAGGRACTGCTGCTCCAAGTGCTGTAATGCAGCTGCTTTGGGGTTAGAAGTCAGTGARTGCTTGAAAAGTTTAGAAGCATTATACATCAATTTTAGAGCAAGGATCAAAAAAGACTGCAGAGACAGACATGGACAGGCAGAAAGCAAGAGCCGAACTAGAGCTTGCCTGCAGGGTAGGGGCTGATCTACCAGCTCCCAAAAGACTCTCCCAAGGAACCTTGTGTCTACAAAGAACTATAAATTTTTTTATTATGTAGTAAAGATTTGAGTCCCATCTGTCTGGTCATTAATACTATTTTCTGCAGTTGTTTGAAAGTGTTAAAACTATGYACTGATCCAGCTCAGCATTGCCCAGGTATGAGGGCTGTGTCAGTCACATCTAAAATCTTTTAAGTGCAGAAAAGCAGCATTTAACTAGCACTGTAAAAATCTGTTTAAATCTAAGTGTCTAGCTCCCTTAAAAAAAAAAAAAAAAAGGAAGGAAGTTAATGTGGATAAAGAATAAAGATAGAAAGTATTTGAATCTGGACTTGCAGAATGGGATCCAGTGGAAAAAAAAAAAAAAAAACCACCTCTGGTCACAATAACAGCTTTGCATTCCCACATGAGCATTTTTCTTGGATTGAGTAGTGCCCTAGATCATCCTCTTAATCTCTCAGACTGACTGGAGTTTTCACCAGCAGTTGGAAAGGAGCAGCGTTTGAGGCCAGAATATGTTTATGTTGCAAATGAGCCAAGAAAGGAGAATGCTGTAGTCCTCAGACAGCAGCACAGGCCTCCAGGGAGGTGCAGAGAATTGGAAAATCTGTTTTCCATTTGGATCCTTTGTACCTATGTGACTGATGAGCTGGGGCTGAGATCGTTGTCACAGCTTCATGTCCAATAAACTAACCATGAGATCTGATCAGCTCTGCTTTGCACATCCAAGGACACATTCTTTGTGAAGCCYGCATATTTGGCCTCCCTGCCTTCTAATTTTTCATTCACTTAAAAACTGGAGCTGGGTCATAACTCGTTGTTATGATCTTTACTTTGGCTGTGGCAACCTAATCAATGTATGAGGTTTCTAAAYTCTTCCCTCTAATGATTTCTGACAGCTTTTGTGTCAGAGCATTGCTTTTTGCAGACAGATGAAGCACAGGTTTCATGTGTGTATGTAGTCCTGTGTGATAGTTAGAGTGACAAATGCTCTCTGCACTTTTTCTTCAAAATCAAATAGTGTGTGTGTTAGTCATTTCTGTATAAATTCATGAGAAATGCCAAAAAAAAAAAAAAATCAGTGAAGTGATCTGTATAACAACAAAAAGAAGTTTTGAAGAAGTCCAAGAAACATGAAATGCTTTGTCATAGCCTTGCTCAAATCTAATCCCCAGAAGAGCAAGGATTTGAAGCTGTACTGAGATTTCTTGTTTTAATTTGAAAGCTCTGCTAGTATCATGGGTCATATACTGGAAAGAAAAAAATGGAGATGTTCATATATACAGACAGAAGCATCTGGTGAGAATGCTAATGAGCTCTAACAGTGCTGTCAGTGAGTTTGTTTTGATTAAGGTTGCCAATCTATATCTGGTGATGAAGCCTGTTAGGATCTCTAAAAGTTAAGCAGCAGAAATAATTTAAATCATTAATTAAGTGGAAAAATTCAGCAAGATATTTTTACTTATGAATTGGTATTCCCGTATCATATTTAGTGCTATCCTGATAAACTAATAGTAGGAAATTCAGCTTGTTCCCAGTAGGAACTTATTGAGGCAGCTTGTTATAAAGAGAAAGAACAAATGGGAAGGTCAGAGGATTTTGAATTCTCTCTTTCTTCCTCCCTCACCTGAGGAAAGGAAATTGAATAACTGAAATCAGGTTGCGTTGAGCTTAACACTGATTTTCCTATGCATGGGTTGGAGGGAAATATAGATTAATCAGATCAGGAGTGTGCAACTGTTTTCTGTATAACCATCCCAGGCACTGTTATGTAATCTACAGTTTATCTGAACAGTGTTGGAGGCTCCCTAATACATAAAAGCATCCTCTGACAGCTGCTTTAGTTCCTTGTTTGTTAACTTTAGATATGTTTGCCCCGGGTCATCCTGTGTTTAGTGCTGGCTGCCAGACATTGCGAAAGCAGCTTTGCAGGAGTGTTTGAAAGCATCTCTTATCTGTGGGTTCTGTGTACTAACTGTAGCCCACTGTACTGTGGCCCAGCCGGTTTAGTCATCCCCCAAAATTTATAATGGTTGTTCAGAATGGCTCTTC